TTCTTTTTTTTTTTTTTTTTTTTTTTTTTTTTTTACTGCTATCGTTTGTTTTTGGTCTCAATCACAGAAGAAAATTCCTGAGATTCGCACGAATGGAGTCAGGGCTGGAACCAGTGCACGGTGACTTGGGTAACGGCAAGTTTCAAAACAAAGGCTTGAAAAGAAAATATAAAGTAATGGATCATGGGGCATGTTCTTACCGATTCGATCTGCACTACTGCGTATCTCCGAGGAAAATGGGGTTACTTCAAGTTCCACAGAGATTGAGGCAATACAGGAAAATAAACAGGAAGTAAAATTGATTGTGTTTCAATTGCTGATTCACCTAATAAAATAGCTGAAACAGTAGCGACTCGTATGAGTGTAACTCCACCGAAGTTCTTAAATTAGGTGATACAACTACAAGTGTATATTGATATTGAGTCCGACCACACGATCGGTCGGAACGTGACTAAGCAAACGCATCCTGGCCTGGCCAAGGCCGAGCCAGGCGGAATCCTTCTGCGCATGCGCCCTTCGCGTCTACCGTTCACGGTTCTCCCAAGAATCCTCGCTCGTGCGGCAGTGAGGGAGATGCCCACGTGGGCAGAGCCTCGCGATTTGTCTGTGTCCTTCACTCGCTGGCCTCCCTTGATTCGTACTTGGGATTGGCTCGTTCGTCATCGATGAGATCCGCGCAAAGGTTAGACACCCAGTTGGCAAACATTCAGATTAGAAAGCTTTACATGCTAAACTCATCGCAAACCCTTACGACGGAGAAGGCAAGTACAGTAACCCTCACACCAGCGGCACGATATGTAGCATGAAGTAGCGTGAAAATCATATTTGAAAGTTCTTCTTCAAATCCCTTTTTCTCTTCCCTCTCTCCCGACGCACTAACGTTAAGCCTTAGCCTAACCCACGGTCAGGCCTAGGCCTACCTTTTTTCGCTCAAAAGAACATCAATCCTCAAATTTCGGAGCCCATTATCCCCATGGGGATCTACCTCAGGGTTTTCGAGACATCTCGGCCAGATCGTGCAACGTTAGGCCGATTATGAGTCAATTTTTCGATGCGTTCCGATGCGCACACAAAGAGGATCTAGGCCTATCTAGGCACATAACTGCGCACTGGAAACACCAGCAAGCCCACGTTCACCTCTTCCCTTGAAATAGGCACAAAAATACAGGGTACCCGAGAAAGGTGTACCGTATTTTACCCTGCTATATTCTTACCTATAGTACGGATAAGCACACGCTGTTTTTACAAAATTACGGATGAACTGACTTTTTTTTGTTCAGTTGTAGTTTCGCCGGCTTCCGCCTCTGGCGCTGCTATCAGTGGGCATTAGACATGGCGTGTGTACGAGAAAGGGCGATATGTTTAAATTTAAGTCCCGTGTCCGACGTGAGCTTAAACGCGTTTTCGGCAGAAGGACCCCAACCCACAATCGATATCAACGTGCCAGTCCCGTGATCTACTCGCGCTGGACACGGGACTGGCATCGATCGATGATTCAGCGAACCGCACCGCACATTTCGCCTTTTCTGGCACAGACGCTAATGCCCACTGCGAGCAGCGCCAGGGGCGGAAGCCGGAGAAACAAGAAAAAAAAGCTAGGTGATCTGTTATTTTGTACTTTAAAAAAATATATAGCATGGTAAAATTTGGTACACCTTTCTCGGGCACCCTGCATATCACACGTTAATAACTGGGGCAAAAATACGAAGGCGGAAGCTGTCGTGAATCCAAAATATCTCCGGCATTACGTGGGTTGTTATGAAAGTCCGGTGAAAGTTAGATTTGTCATAATGCCAGAAGCTGACTTTTTATTCCCTTTTTTCTATAGGATGTTACACTGAATTTCTTAATAATTTTTTTTACCCAGCATATCAGTATGTGTGGATTTCTTTTTGTGTTCCATCAGATGATTTGAGAGCCCTGCTGTGAAGTAGATCTAACATGGAAATGTAAAAAATCGATACCACTCAAAACTCATAATTGACACATCTTGCATATAACTCGAGCAGTGATAGTATCACCCGTCGTCTGGTCGAGGGACAACGAGGGGGCTTGCGACATTTCTTCTGAGTGCCACGAAAGGCTTTGAATTGATTTTAAAATTTTCAGTTGGCGGATCATAGTAACAGTGCCCTGTATCATCACTAGTTTCGATACCAGAGACACGTTTTCGCGCCTTAGGTAGAATTTAGGAGCATGATTTTGCAGAAACTCACTCTCGTCTGTTTCGCGCTGTCTGACTTTTTTTTGGGACCCTGTGTAGGCAACTGATTTTTATTATTATAGTGTTTATATGTTTGTTTAGAATTTTTTTTGTCGTCTTTAATTAGACGATTGACTTTCTTCAAATTTTCGTCAATGACAATTGTTTTTAGACGCTCTTCAGGGGGACATCAAGGCCAGTCTAACGACGCAGGAACCGCGAACACCAGACATATACAAACTTTTTAGACATGGCTCCAGTAACAAGGCTTTCATGGCACGCGGAAATTTCTTGAAACTCCAGAAACGTACCTCAAAGGGGGAGGGAGGGATTACGTTCTTGCAAATTTTGGGCACTGGTGCTGGGCAAAAAATTGTGCAAAAATTCATTGAAACTTTTAAGTATCCTTTTTATTATTATTTCAAAAAAAAAATAAGTCAGCTTCTTGCATTGTGACATATACGACTTTCTCCGGACTTTTAGAACAACTCTCGTATCTGGAAACCTTGGGGACGGGATTCCAGCCCGTAAGATGAGCATAAGTAAACGACGGCAAATGTTCATTTTTCACATCGAAGTGGTGCGTTGCAAATAGCGAAAATATCGAAAAATAAGTTCATATCTTTCTTCTGGCTCGGCTCAAGGCCGAGCGATATAGCAATGCATGGAAGAAACGCAAACTTTTCATGTTTTGCGTTTGCACCTGCGTCTAGTCGCACAAATATCGACGCAATCGGCGAATTTCCCTGAAGTTTCATCTCCGGGCCGAGTGGGACTCGTCCCGATGCCTTGCGTTTTGCGAAAAGCCCATGGAAGGGAGTGGTAATGCGCGAAACTCGTATCTTCAAAATGCCAATTGTTCTCTTCGCCACGCCGATTCTGTGTTGAGAGGAATATTGGTAGAATTTTGGGATGGGAAGTTTTAAGGAAGTTAAGTGATTGCTCATGTATTTAAAAATGCCCTATTCTCTCTTCTCGGAGACCATTGAATTCTCAGAGCATTATCGTACTCTGACAGCAACTGTGCAGGAAAGACTCACGATATCAAATAAAATACAAAATAAAACAATTGAAAATAAAGCGTCCAGTTCGAGGCTTTATAAAACCTACTGTAAAAGTGCCAGGATTGTCTGTTATTTGTGTCAGAATTTTTTTTTTTAAGACTAGGTTATTTTGATAAAAGAGCAACAGCTGTTGAAACTTTCAGAAGAAAATTTCCGCTTTTTCGTGCATCTGGAGGGCAGTGGTTGAAGCATGCTGTAATATGTCCCATTTGTCGCTACATAACAATTACTGTCGCTTTTCATCCAGAAAAGCAGCACTTGAAACATGGGGAAACAAATCTTTTAGTGTTTCCAATGTGATGCCAAAATATTACAACCCTAGAATTTCCACTTTCATGAGGGATCAAACAGAACGCGTTCTTTCTTTTTTTTTTTTGGGGGGGGGGGGGCATCCATTACTCCGATCACATGTCCTACCCTCCCCCTATCCCCATTCTTCTAGTTTAGTACTACTAACTGTGCTACCGCCAGTCTTATTCAGTCCTATCTCTACCCAGTCCTATTCCCAATCTTAAACCGAAGTACTATCCTTATTCTACTTCCTGTTAACTGTCTTACCACTTATCCTACCCTGTCCTACTTTCTAAACTGTCTCGCTCTACCCTCAATTTCACCCACTATCTTACCCTCCGGACTTCCCCCGTCCCGCTTCCTGTACCATCCGTTGTCCTACTTCCGGTTCTCGGTGAGAACGTAGGCGTTGCGTAATCTTCCATACCTTCCTAAGATGAGATGGCGGAATCGACGGAACATCACGCAATGAATATGGATTATTTTGAACGACCTAGGAAGAGTCCAAGCTCTACGATAGTCCGTGAAGGCTGGATCCCAATCGGAACACCGTCGGTATCTTGTGAACCGCGTGCCTCCACGCGTCGCAGCTGGTAATCACGGCAACGGCGATCCTACCCGATGTTAGGCAACAACCTCTGCAAGGAGTTTTGCACAGTCTCCGAATACTTTTAGAAAGGTACGTTAAAAGATACGATGTGCTATGAGTGACAGACCGCAGCTGGAGGAGAGAAAGGAAGCAGAGGCAGACAGGAGCGAGCACGTGGGAGGAGGGAGAACGACTGAAGGGGGAAACGACCATCTGGAAGCGACCGTTACTACTGTCACTTGCTTGAACCAATGAGAAAGCGGAGGCTCGATGTGACGCCATTGACTTCACTTGGCCTCCCCCGTCCCCCCAGGGGACGTTCTTACCTTCGGGGTGGGATCATGTGATAAGTGTCAGGTCGCGACCCAGCCTTCCCATTGGCGCAGGCGTGCTGTTATGGTCTTTTTTTTAATTTTAATTTAATTATATTTTATTTTTATTTTTTTTTTATTTTTTTTTTTTTTACCGTAGTGAGGGTAATCCTTCCTACGCATGCGGAAATCCAACTTTTTTTTTTAAGACCTTCCCTCGACCAGACGACGGGTGATACTATCACTGCTCGAGTTATATGCAAGATGTGTCAATTATGAGTTTTGAGTGGTATCGATTTTTCTGATCAGCTGGAACAGCCAAAGCGCAAGAGCATGAAACTGAAATATTTTTCACAACAGCCTAATCGAAGGAAATGTTGTTCCCAATAGATAAATACAAATATATATTTTATTTTTACCTAAAAATTAAGAAGCGTCATTCCAGGCCGAAAAAAATAGTCACTTCGCGCATGAGACCTTCACGAAATGGTACTGGAAAGTGGATTTTGCGTAACATTTGCAATCCATTTAGGTTTTGTTGAAAGCATCGATCTCGACTCCTTCCCCCAGAAACCTCTACTGACCGATTTTGAATCGACTCGCGATGGCAACCCTCGGGTCCATGACAAGTTTTTCGTCCGTTTCTCATTATTCTGTTTGGACGTGGTAATTGAAAAGGCTCATTGCAGGTTCCCCCGTAATTTTCAACCGTCGAGCAAGAAAGGAATAGCATTTTTTCACCTGTCGGATATCACACCAATCTTCGCAGAGCCGGGAAAAAAAAAAAACTCCGCCCATGAGATAACTGGCATCCGCAATCCTCGGACGCCAACACTCAAACTCGCAACGATAAGATACGACGACGCCCCCCGTGCGGATGACTCGCCCCCCGACCCTCCTCCTTCGCCGTCCCGGCCGCGACTGGTCTGGATCCGCGGTCGCTCCTGCGTGGTGACGTCACGCGTGGTGCCCTTTCGCGGTCCGTGCGGAAGTGTCAGTGTTCGGTTGAAGGCGATGTGGCCGTGGTTTGGCCTCCGTGGTTTTTTAAAATGAGTTTTCAATGACTGATAATTTGAATAACTTGGGAGTAACGATCTGACGCTGAAAATGTGCCTGTCGTTAGCCGAAAGCCCTTTTTCGAAAAGGGGAAAATGAAGGCGTGTAAAAAAGAGGCAGGGCATTCTCATCCCGTTGTGTAAACTGGATGGGAATGCGTGTGGGCGTGGGACCCACCGCCGCGCTGCCTGGCTTCACGGGTGGCTTCGGGGGTGGCTTCATGAATGTAGTAATTAAGTCTGGTGGTTGCGGGGTCGGGTGGGGCCTCGGCGGGGTCCTTTCAAGCGTCAATAGGCGTATAATGGTGGCGTCGGTGACCAAGATTATGTACAGGGTGTACAGAAAGTTGGTTCTTATGAACAACTCTTTCCTTGTACGAACAAGCACCGTTAAGGAAAATTTATGGGGGACCGATTGTTCATTTATACATTCTGGAGCAGCAGTCGATCAGTCTAGGTGTTGAATTTACATGACAGAGAAAATGAAACACAATCATGTCGACTTTATTTTCTGCTACCAGCTGTCACACCTATTATTTATTTTCGAACGAACGCGAAATTTCTATTAATAATAATTTTTTTTTTCTCACCTCTGAGGCCTTCAGAATAGCATATTTCCTACGTATAGAAAAAAATATCAGACATTTGTTATTCGAATTTAATCCAGGATACCGTGACTGACATAGATGCTGATTGATTTGGTAAACAATGTCATCACCCAAAAATGCAGGTTAAAGGGGACCCACAGTCATTTCATAATTTAGCCTGAGTTTCTGCATCGTTTGTCTCCCCTTCACTTTCAAGCTCGCAGTAGACATTGCTTTTGCTGCCGTCTAATAATTAAAGTGCGTTTGATTTCATTAATTAATTTATTTTTTCCTTGAAAAAGAATAGAATGCTTGCGCCTGGATCGAGTGAATGCTGTTCCAGAAAGTACGTATGAAGTTTAACTAGACATAATTGTTTAAATTATGTTTACTCTCACAAGGGGGGGGAAGAAACTCTCCCATAGGAAGCAGCTTTATGGACACCCTGTACGATATTCTGCGTTTAGTCTTATTGCGCACTCATTGAGCATCTTAGAGACACCCTCCTTCCCAGCCCCACAGGAATCAGTCGAGATGTTACGGTGGATGAACAGCGACACCGACCGGGAGAAGACGCCCGAGGTGTACGAGCACGTCCTGGACGGGCTGAAGAAGCTCTACAAGTCCAAGATCCTCCCGTTGGAGACGCACTACCACTTCCACGATTTCCACTCGCCGCGACTGGAGGACTCGGACTTCGACGCGAAGCCGATGATCCTCCTCATGGGGCAATACTCCACGGGGAAGACGACGTTCATCAGGTACTTGCTGGAGAGAGACTTCCCGGGGATGAGGGTCGGGCCCGAGCCCACGACGGATGGGTTCGTCGCCGTCATGCACGGGGAGGAGGACGGGCTGGTGCCTGGGAACGCGCTCGCGGTGGACACGAAGCGGCAGTTCCGGGCGCTGGCCAAGTTCGGCAACGCGTTTCTCAATCGGTTTCAGTGCTCGTTATTGGACTCGCCCGTTCTCAAGGCCATCTCGATCGTCGATACCCCCGGGATTCTCTCCGGCGAGAAGCAGCGCGTTAATCGCGGTTACGACTTCACCAAGGTCCTGGAGTGGTTCGCCCAGCGAGTCGACAGGATCATCTTGCTCTTCGACGCGCACAAACTGGACATCTCCGACGAGTTCAAGCGCGCCATCGACTCCATACGGGCGTGCGACGAGAAGATCCGCATCGTCCTCAACAAGGCCGACGCGATCGATCGGCAACAGCTGATGCGAGTGTACGGTGCCCTCATGTGGTCTCTCGGGAAAGTGATGAAAACTCCGGAAGTCCCTCGAGTGTACATCGGATCCTTCTGGGACCAGCCGCTTCAAAACGACTCGAACAAAAAGTAACCCGAGAAAATCGGTTGTTTTAAACACATCCTATTTTTATGCAATTTTATCGACTTTCCATCCCTCAGACTCTTCGAGGTGGAGGAGCAAGACCTATTCGCCGACCTGCAATCCCTACCGAAAAACTCGACTCTCCGCAAACTCAACGACCTCATCAAACGAGCGCGACTAGCCAAGGCGAGTCGAGGAAGCACTGCTTCCTCCCGCTTCCTCACGCTTTCCTCACGCTTCCCCTCACTCGGTCCCTCGCCGCCCTTAGGTCCACGCCTACATCATCGGCTACCTCTACGCCCAGATGCCCAAGCTGTTCGGCAAGAGCGCGAAGAAGAAGGAGCTGATCGCGAACCTGGACAGGGTCTACCAGCAGCTCCACGACGAGCATCAGATCTCGCTCGGGGATTTCCCCGACGTCGAGGAAATGAAGGTGAGGGATCCGGAACAAGTCTTACTGTTTCATCTACAATTTAAAATAAAAATTATTTTATTTTGATGAGGCAAAATGGGGGAAAAAGCATCTCAAACAAATCGTTACAGGACTGAAATTAGTTTGAACAAAAAAAAACCTATATTATTAGCAAGCATATGTAATATTATAAGTATTTATTATTCGATCCTTGTTTCAGAAAGTGTTGGGTCGATACGACTGGAACAACTTTAATCCGCTGAAGATGCAACTCATCAAATCAGTGGATAAAATGCTGGCTGAAGACATTGCACGTCTCATGCAGGTGATCCCCAACGAGGAGGCAATGATCAAGGAAGACCGTCTTATCCGAGGTATCAGCCTTCAATTTCTGTATTATTCATCAAATATTATTATTCATCAAATATCATTGTTACGTACTACTTATCACGTATTATTAATTACATATTTTTTATTTATTAATGTTTTGGACATGACGTTGGACTGTATCCAAACTTTAAATGAAGCAAACGAACATCAGTCTTAATACTGGCTCGGTCCGGAGCCAATGATAAAATGGACCGCGGCAGCTGTGATGCTCCTGACACAGCTGTTGTTAACCCTTTCCCGCCCAATGACTCCATTTAGCATCGTAGTTAGTTAATCTTGTACTTTTAAAGAGTTGGTCATTATTTTATTAATAAAAAAAAATATTTTAATATTCCATTTTAAAAAATTTTCCCATGAAAAGTACAAATTAATTTGGGCTGGGAAGAGTTAAGTATGCCACTGGAGCAATTGCTCCGTATTGAAAATCCATACCGACTTTCTCATCGGCGTCGGGAAATCAACGGGCATGTTGCCTCCGTTGAAGTGCACTTAGATGGTAAAGGCCCAAGCAGCCCGGAAGGGATGCGGTGGGCTGCAGCCAAGGCGTGATTTCATGGAACTTCTATCGCACTGAGCCCTAACGGCTGTGTGGCTCCGTTCGGGTTGATTTGTAAGGCACCCGATGTCGAATCATTTCTTGGAACGTCTTCGGGACCGAGCCAGGTGTCTTCTCCGATCCCTGAGCGAGATGGCGGATGCAGTAGCAATAACATCAGTTGCGAACTCAGCTGGGCAAATTGCTGAATCGGAACAATATGTCAAAGCCATTGCATGTTTTTTTTACACGTTATTTATTATGTTATTTGTTATACCTAATATTTATTATTACTTTTATTGCATCGAGCCGTCTCAGACACGCAATAGGACGATTTGAAGATCTTAGAGGGCTTCTAGCATCAGCAGGAAAATCGACGAGACCCTACCGACTTAAAACTCGCCAACCGCTAACGCTTCCCTCACACAGGCGGCGCCTTCGACGGCATCATGGACAAGAGGAGCCCCTTCGGATTCAAGATGGGCGAGGGGGTCGACGCCGGCAAGGGGGAGAAGGGGTGGATCGTGGAGAAGGACCGTCATAAGTACGATGCCATGTTTCAGGAACTGAATCCCATCAACGGGAAGATCAGCGGAGCCGGTTGGTCCTGGGCTTATATTTATTATTATTATATTCATGTGTTCATGTTTGCCTATTTGTACTTATATATTTTAATATTTATATTTTAGTATTTACATTTTAAAGCTTTTAAATTAGTATTTATATTTCCGCATGTTCACTCGAACATTTAAATGTTAATATTTATACTTATTCCTCGTCGATCGAAAATCCGAACTCGACCGATCGCTCTCACCTCTCAGTCGCCAAGCAAGAGATGCAGAAGTGGAAGCTACCGAGCACCGTGCTGGGGAAGATCTGGAGGCTGTCGGACGTGGACGGGGACGGGATGCTGGACGCGGGGGAGTTCGCGCTGGCGATGCATCTCATCAGGGTGAAGTTAGAGGGGAACGACCTGCCCGCGGTACTGCCGGAGCACCTCCTTCCGCCGCCGTCCAGGCACAACTTCTGAGGACTTGGTGGGACTGGGGTACTTGGTGCTTCTGGGGGCGATGGAGGGAGGGAGGGGGGGGGGGGGGGCGTTCAGCCAGGAAGGCTGGCGGAAGTTTTGTCTCGATTAGGTCGAGAAGTGCAGAAACGAGGGGGAAAGGTCAGTTTTGTCTAACTGACCGATATGCAAGTTTTAAGAATCTTTTAAACTGCTCAAGGATGGACCATGCCAAAACTCTGAAATGTATTCTTTTGGCGATGAAGCTGTGATTCCCCGAGCCGTGAGAATGTGACAATACCAGAATAACCTCCTGTTTAATATCAATACCGGTATCGGAAATGATAAATAATAACGTCCCAAGTACAACCGTGCGGTGAAATTTCACAATATATTTACCGTTGAAAAGAATTATATTCAGGAATGAAAATCAAAATCGAAATTCCTCCACGGCGTCGATAAGCCTCTGATATACTTTGTTTCGGCATTGCACGAAAAGCTCATTCGCATTGTGACTAGTTCACTTCACAAACTAAATAAAATGAAAGATATAGTCCATCTCATGCAGCAGACACGCCGTCGTGCTAGTCACGTACGCACGTAACGCATGTTGCCTTGTGCGTAGCCTTTTTTTTTTGCAGCCTTTTTTTTGCGATCGCCATTGACGGCGATCTGCGTGCCGTACGTGCCATCTCGTAAGCAAATAGAGAATTCAGTTGCCTTTCCAATGATATGTAAATTTTCATTGAAATGAAATACGTTTCAATATTTCAAATTCACGGAATGTTTTTCATTTCCTTCGAAGCTTCGGAGGCGGAGTTTCAAATTTTCATGACTTCCACATTGCACCAAAGGGCTTCGAGCACAGATCCTATCAGGGGAATCGCTTACACACCTCTACGATACCTCAAATAGGGAACGGCGTATCGTATCAATCACGTATTTCTTATTTCGAATCAACGTTTGCACAGTGCCAAGTCTGCAAGTTTGCAGTTTTGTAAATACTCCCTCGCGTGGACGCGGAATAAACGCAACGGAAGACACCAAGATCTCCAAATAAACGGCTAAAAATAATCCCGGAAGGAACCAAGGAGACATCACTTAGACTTGTGCACGACGAAGACGTGCGCCTTGAGCCCGCTGCTCTGCGTGAAGGCCCGGCGGCACACGGGGCAGACGAACGGGCGTTCCCCCGTGTGCTTGCGGTAGTGCTTCTTCACGTCGCTCCGGCGGGAGGTGTAGCCGCAGACCTCGCAGAAGAAGAACTTGAGCCCGGAGGAGATGCCGCTCCAGATCCCCTCCTCCGTTTTCCTCACACTCTGGCAAAGATTTCAAAACTTGAGGGGTTCTGGGGTGAGGGTGAACTTTCGACCGAGGTGAGCCTCAGTAGCTCGGTATATTGGGTCGATATACTGGGCAATGGGGACGAGCCAACAGCGGAAAATACAAAAGCCCAGGTCAGTGGCAAGCCTCCTATAGTACACTGCCGTGATACGTGCAATGTAACAGGGGATGTGGCAATGATAACTGGGGATGCAGGAAACAAGAACCGATGCTTGGAGATGGTGTGTATTAATACAACCTTAATCCAATCCACCAATTCCGCACAATATTGCTTTCATTCACTCCAGTTCTATTGAACAATATGAAGTATAACTTTAAGATAAAAAATGATATTGTTCAATTGAAAAAATACATACTTTCTCAAGTTTTGTTCATCCCACTTATCATTCTGTTGCAACCCAGGAATCTTCAATATATTTGGGTGATAGCAAAATGTCGTGGCACAAGTACTTCAGGGAACCAAGTTTTAAGTTGTTGAAGTAAGAATGATACCTCAAACGGTTTCTCTAAATGAATAAAAAATAGTTGGGGATGAAACGGAAAGATTTGATCATGACCCCAAAATTTCATGTCAGACTGTGGATGATGCCTAAAGGTCTTCCTATAGTTCTTAAAACAAAAAAGGGTAGATAATGGTAATAGAATATAATATATCATTCTAGTGAGAATGGTTAAGTGGTGGGCAGGAAAGACTGGTCCACCTTTTCCCACTGCCTTGTTCAAGTTCCCGTGAGAACCACCATGTAAGCCAGAGAGACTTCGAGGGACAGTAGTGTGATGTGATCCCTTTCTTTTGAATTTTCATCACTTTAGTTATCATTACAACTGCAGCTATGATTGTCGTCATAATTTTCATAATTTTTGAATCTTCTAATTTCCAAGTCTTGTTCTCTTCTGTGGCTCCCTTAAGGCAATGAAGGGATAAAATAAGACAATCTCATTCAAAAGAAAAAATGCAGCCTTGCCCCAATGACCCCTCCTGCTCATCTCAGAGGCTGAGATGTCACCCTTGTTTCCTTTCTTTGGGTCTGAAGTGGCTATAGGGTGGGGGTGAATGAGCCATTTTGCTAACCCCCTACCATGAGAATTAAAAATCACCAAACTGATTGAAATGATGTGCTGCAGGAGCCAGACTCATGAATCTTTCGGGTCTGTGAAACACAGAAATGCTCATTTGTGCCTCTGACACTAAAGGGGCAATATCTCAATTGTCAGCTCAAACTCCCCTGAGCCTTAACTTTTCTCTGCATGTGGTTGTTCCATTCAAAGTCATTTCATGGCAAGTTTCTGATGGGATGGTAAGGAAAATAAATATACAGGTCATGGGAAAAAAACATCAACTCATTAATTTCCACTCTCACTATAGCTACTTCCACAAAACTTGCACTGCCCATTGGCTGAAAATATTCTGATGAAACTTAGGAAATTTTTTTCACATTCATCAAGTCAGAGCTGGATGATGAGCAATCATTCAGTAGAAGTTACAGGGTTCTTGTTAACTCACTATAGTGAGTCCCTGACTCATTTTCTTGGAGGGACTCATATTTGCGAAACATCTTTGTCTGTGGGACTCATTGACAACCACGTGAACATGTTCCCACTGAGCTGAAGCTAGGCGCCAGGACTCAAGATTTAAAAAAGCTAGTGTGAACCCTGAGTTAGATACTAAAAGTGGACACTTGCAGGTGCTGATTGTCATGGGGAGGAAATGCCTTTGTGCCATGGTTCTGTATTATCCTGGTCACAATGAAATTTCTTCCATTTAAAATTCATTCTTTAGGATAGCCTTTTGTTGCAGATTGACGACTTTACTCATTACTGATGAATCAAAAGGTACAGATACAAATTATCATACAATACTCAATGTTTTAACAATGATTTCCCTTATATCTTCATGTTCTTGCTCTGACAGAATGAATTTGCTGAAATGTCAAAAATTGGTTGTAAACAAATCATTCTGTATGTGCAATCAAAAATAAAAATAGTTCCAGCAAGAGTAGACATATATAACTTAAAAGTACCAGGTCTTTTATTCTGCCTCACCCTCCATGTCAAGTTCACATGACATGGCATGGAATGGTGAAAGATGAGAATTTAAAACCAGTAATATTCCTGCAAACATTGACAGGGCCATCAAGTCACACACAGATTTGTACAAATACATGTTAACGACTCCAAAAAATGTCTAATTTGCGAATAAATAGCCAAAAAAGTTACCTAAGGCAAAGGCCTGTTAAAATGGTGCCAGCAAACACTGGAAGGTGTATCAGATGTATGTTGTAACCAAGCTTTTGAGTGGATAGATAAAATGAAATTGCCAAGTACAAGAGTTTGATCTTTAACCTAATTAAATTGGGTCATTCCAGAACATAAGAATCACCACTACATAAGTTATGCAAAAAATTGTCAAAATTATAAATAAAAAAATGCTGCATTTGAAATTTCATAGACACCCTTTGCTTCTCTTCTTATGGTTGACCATTGAAAAACTTGTACAAAAATGACTCCACCTGGTTTACAATTTTTAAGGTCTACTCAGTTCTAATTTTCCCCATGAACATTCAGTCGTTAACATGAGACACTGATATTGACCGTTAGTTATGAACATATACTATGAGACTTCATCATATGGTTTCTCAAGCTCACATTCCATCGAAACTTTTGACCACAGAGATGGCACTGAAACGGTTTCTCGCCAGTATGAGTTCGTTGATGACCCACAACATTTGTCTTGATTGGAGACTTATAAAGGCAGTAGGCACAGAAGTGGACCCTGATCTCTCGCCTTGTGTCTCTTCCAGACCAGATTCCATCATGTGATCTCCTCAAGCTCTGACAGAAATAGATGGGCACATACTGTACTGTACCTCAACAAAAGAGGATATACAAGGGGTGCTCAAAAAGTTACAGGACTAGTTCTGTACCTCCTTTATTCTATTATGTGCAGATATCACTTCTAGTAATTATCTTGTGTTGGGTCAAGAGGGAGAGGTGCATGGAAAAAATGTATTGTTTGTTGGTTTTCATTCAATTTCATTATAAATCTGTTTTGAAGGAACTCATGAAAGAACTTGGTGAAAGTGAATAAGGAATTTCTTGAACCAACTTAAAAATTTGGAGTGACATATTTTGTGCAGTATTAAGTAAATGTACCTTGCCATGAAGCTTGAAGAAATTAAAGTGGTATGCTAATCATTCACAAAAAATAAGAATGATCCAAGGTAGGGGCAATAGTTAACATCAGTGGAGTGTAGCCTGAGTGCAGCCATAAAATAAATTCAAGTTTCCAGGCAGTTCATGATTTTTTATTTCCTGAACTCCCTGAAGGACTTCTTGCACTCAAGATCCTCTCCTCAATTCTTTATGATGACCAATCTTACCTTTTGATCACCAAGCCCAAATATACTCATTTTCAATTTTCCATCACTGGGTGCTAGACCCAAAAAACCTGGCAGCCAAAGGGTTAATAACCTAAGACTGACTTCTTTTATTTGTTTGTGCCTGTAGAATATCATCCAGCAGGTAGAAGCATCTACTGCAAAAGTAACACCATCCAACATATCACACGTTTCTTGGGCACATTTCCCAAATTTCACATAAAATTTAATAACACTTTGAATTTCCAATTTCACTTCATCAGATTCCTCACTTGTTTTTCCTGAGTAGGTTAGTCAATAAATACATTGACTGCTGAAAAGAATCTCACTATGTGCAAAACAGATCACAAATGATAGATGTGGTATCCAATTTTTTTTTTTAACTTTAAATTAAAATCAAAAGAATACCAACAAACAATAAATTTTGCCCATATGCCCTAAGAACAAGATAATTACAGGAAATGACATCTGTACATCAAGGAAGAAAGGAGTTATAGAACCAGTCCCAGAACTTTTCTATCAATCATTGCTTTTTTGTGCATGGCAGGGACAATATAATTTGTGATTTGGATATTTGCATGCAATCTGCATATGGCATGATACTTATAAGCTACTGACTTAAATCATCTGGTGATAATTATGTTCATTGGCCAAAAGGAGAATTCTTTTTTATGGCAATGTAATCTGCAGGAATATAAGTTCTTATGTATTGTGTCAGCTTGTCATATAACAATAAATAAATGGCATAGACTATGTAAAAGTGCCATGCTGAAATTTGCAGTTTTGGACAAAGACTATGATATTTACCACTTCATGAAATGCTTATAGAATTATACTTGAAGGGAAACATGCCATATGAGCAGGGATATGTAGATAACTGTTCGGGTCACAGATGGCCCAAAGCACAACTATGCATACGGACAGAAAGCCTTTATATCATTGACAAAGAAGTGAATTCAATTTGAGGCAGATTCAAAGTCGATGGCTCCTTGCAGCATGAAGCTTCAAATTTGATTTTTGCAGGAAACTCTTTCCACACACATTACACTTGAATGGCCTTTCACCCGTGTGAAGTCTCACATGACGCACAACATTGGTTGGGTACAGTGACTTATATGCACAATAAGTGCAGAAGTACATCCTGCATCCAGATCCTGTATGCAGGCCAGACAATATCCCATCATGTCGCCTTTCCACGGTCTAGCAAAGACATGCATGAAGGGAAGATGAATATAAGGATAATAAGGATGAAGCATGCATTTTGAACAACTAATATTCATGCCAAGAGAGAAGCATTTATAAGGAGCACTCGTCTTTGGGATACAAAATACAGGCAACAACTAAATGATGGTATTGCAAGCTATCATAAGTCCCTTCATGCAATGATTGCTACCATGCAAAAACATATGTTTTTCTGGAAGGCCTTTCCACTTTTGGCAAATTTGGCTTCACCAAAGAGTCTGAAACCCACTCATCAGGATATAAATTAGTTCCAGTGTGTACAACCCATTATCAGAACAGCATGAATTACTGGTACTTCATAAGAAGCTTGCCACCATTCCATGGAGGCTACCATTGAAATGTAAGACTGATAGTCCACAAGCCATTTGCCCAACAGATTGGGAAGAATTGAACAACATCATGACCCATCAGAGGTTCATGAGGCTTTGCAGAAAATGCTGCCCAAGGCCCACTGGTAAATCATCCTTTTTTATGATACTGGAATTCATGTGGTGTTTTTGAAATATTCCAAGAATGGTTTCCCCCCTCAATTTTGCCAATAGCAGAAGTGGAATATTATTTTTTGCAACAGCTGTGAATTTTCTCAATTTGCTGGAGGTGGGAATTGGTATTAGTTACAATGTCAATCCAGCATATGTTACCAACAAAGGGTTTTTTCATTGGATAGAGAGGTGTCTTTGAAATTCCTTTTCAGTCCTTGAATAACACTGAAGTTGCACCAGATTCTTGTTTGATTCATTCTTGTTCAGATTATGTGCACTGAAGTGCTCATAATCTGGACAGCAAGAACAGAGGTGCTCAACCTCCAGACTGCTTTAATTTATATAATTGTAAATAATGAAAGTTATATTAATGTATTATCATAGCCATTAAAAATCTGTACCACAGACCTGATTCTCACTCTTACTTGATTTTAATTTTCTACCCAGTTTTCCTGCCTTCCCACTGACCTTCCCATGAGAGTTGGATTTTATAGGATCCAACTGCCAACAGTTCAAAAAGGTCAGCAAATTTCTCAGCTCAAGAAATTTTTCAGCACATGGAATACCCTGGACACATCTTTGTCTGATAGTGACTACCAGAACTCACATTAGATTATAATTCAGGATCATCAGACCTTGGGGCATCAAGTTAGTATGTCTTTCCATATATTAGTTGAGCACTCCTGCACTAGAAGATGAGGGTAGGAACATGCAAGAAATATTTACTTTGCTTTTCATGTACTCATTTTGTCAGTTGAAAGAACATTTCTAAGCAAAAGATCCTGTTGGCATTCAATATGCCAGAGTACGAATATGTGTCAAGATGAAACTAGCTGGCCCATCTTACCCCTATTCTTGGAGTGCAATGATCTATCCTAGTGCCTGAAAGATATCACTTTGGTCCTTTAAAATATCCTTCTCCATGAGAATGTGTATAACAATTGACATCTTTGTGTAACCACTTGGTCTTTAGCAGATAAGTCTTCATAAAATTATATGGATGTTTGAAAGGTCTGTGTGCCAAATGAAGCTCCTGTCAACATTTGCAGGAACAATATAACTGAAAACACCACCAAATGCTACTGTAGCTCAAAGATTTAAAGAACTTGGGGCTTATTCAATGTTGGAGACATTTCATCCATGACAAATTCATTTTGAATGTGATATATGTTAACATACAGTGGTGCACTGGTGCAGAGGAAGGAGGTTCCCTCTTATTAGGCTGTCCCTTCTTTGCCCACTGCCAAACTCATTCCTACTGTCTTCACTTACTGAGGCATTCTCACACCTTCTTCCTTCCCTTTTATTTCTTCACATTGTAATTGAATTCTCTGGTCTGTATTGCCAATCCTCACCCCTATCTTCTTTACAACAACTTTTTAAAACTGATATTACACCTGATGGAAGGTGGACTACATATAAAAATTGGTATGCAGCTTCTTTTTAACTGGAGTCCATCTGATCTTCATCTACCTCATTAATGATGGCCTTAAACCTTAATATGAGACCTCATATTATGTATACTGATGTTCATGAGTGATTCAAATCCCTTGATTACAATAGAAATATATCATATCTAGATAAAAAGGTCCATCAACAATGCCAGTATTGCAGTCACTATCTTTTCCCCTCCCATTAGAAAATAAAACACCTGTGCAACTATTTCAGAATTGTCACCATGAAATTATATCAATTGGATAAGTGGATAACACTTCATAGCTTACCTGTGGATCAATTTCTGGAGGAATGTTCGTGGGAACTTCACCAGGATCATACTCTCCACCTTCCACATATGAAATACTGCTGTTATCACCTTCAAGAACTGATGCATCTTCTTCCTCATACCAACCGGTATTTTCTCCCTCCTGAAGGTTAGTAAGTGAAATCATTATCTGAAAATATTAAGTCAAATTGCCTACTTCACATGAAGTCACATAACTTGCTCACTTCGACTACTTCTTCAACTTCCTCATCTTCAGACTTCACAAATGCTTCCATCTGGGATCTTGAAGTCTCAGATACCTATAGATAGGCAAATGAGTTGTTTTAACGCCTAATCACTGATTTATTCTGTTAGCCTTAAATGAGTGGCACAAAAAGATAAAATGCTACAGAAGTGACATGCAAGTCGATTGCTAGCATACTAGCAAACATAGAGGTATATTAGAATCCTCACCTGACTATTATGATCAGATGTGATGGATTCTGGCTTTGGTATTTTTTCTGGTACTGGTGAGACTGCAGAAACAGGTTCCATGAGTTTTTCATGGGTTCCTGAGCTACCGTCTGGCCGCATTCCAACTGGGAGCTTACGTTTGACTGGAGCGAGGTAGGTGGAAGTGCTAGCTTGACCTGGAGCACCCAAAGGTTTGACACTGGAAAATGGAAACTGACTAGTCATCCTTGGTCTGCCGAGTCCGACAGGCACATCGGGTCTTCCAAACGACCCGGTGGAATCGGATCGATTGGTTCTCTCTCCTTTAAGGCCTTTCACTTCAAGGCTATCCGCAAGAGCGATGAACTGCTCCAAATCAGAAGAGGGTACATCCACTTCACCCAAATACATGAAATCCACCAGAAGTCTCAGATGCATCATTTCAATGCCATAGAAATGAATGATGGGACAGGCACTGTTGTCACGCTGCAACAGTTTTTCAAAAAAGGCGCTCCCAGTGCATAACACTAGTTTATGAGCCTTTATTGTCTGTCCTGCACACGAGAGGGTGATGTCCACAAAGAGCTCCCTGCTCCGTAACACATCAAAGTTCCCAAAAGCCTCGGTGTGATGGGAATTCCACTTCAGATTATACTTGTTTGACATCGTACTGATGCCACATTCAACTGACTAGGTCCTATTCTTCTTGATATCTTTGATACCAAGTGAATCTTGAAAGAATCTGCATGGTAATTCAAAGAAAGAAACAATTTACTACATTATGGATAAGCATATGGAGCTAGGGTTGCCACCTTTGAATTTAACGAAATATGGACAAATATTTGAATCATACTTGCATATGTAACTATGCTGCAAATGCCCTCAGCCACCTTAAGCAAGGTGTCAATCAATACTATGAGAGTGTCCATGGGCCCATGTCCATATTAAGACCAGTTTGCAGTATGGACAAAGCAAATGAAATATGTACTGTCAATATTAATTATGAATGGGTGGCAACCCTATATGAAGCCTATGAAAGTCTTCATCTAGGCCTACATTCCAGAGTAATAGGCAAAATGCAGCTTCATTGGTGGGGTTACCAGATTTTCTGAATTGGGGCATTTTCAAAAAATACTGGAATATTAGTCCCTGAAAGGGAAAAAACAAGGATGGGGTCCCCAAGGTCACCAGGATGGAATGAAAAATTCACACTGGGATATAGTCTGAATTTTACCATGGCCAGTAAAACTGGGACATCTGGTCACCATCCATGGTGTGCACATGGAAGGTTTATTTGTACAAGATGTAAAATACGCCATGGAAGGAAAAATAATGTCTGCAGCAAGGGGTGGTAGTCATCACAATCATCATGTGCATCATTAAGCTGATAGTGTCAACATTTGATGCCCTGGATCAAGTTTACATCTGGGGCAGCGCAGTTACACTTCCCTTTAGCTTTACTGTCTGTCTCTCCAGTAAAAGCGAGAGTTAGTTGTTTTAGTGAAGAAGTACCCAAAAGAAGCAAGGCCTTGAAAAAACCAATGTGGAATTTGCCCCCGATAATACCTGTAGCATATCAATCCAGCCTGCAATGACCCATCAGTCAGGTTCTGATCCAGTTCTAGCCTAATTTTCTGGACCTGTCAAACATCTATCTTTGGTTCATCAAATAACTAGGCCTACCTTCTCAAATAATGAGCCTAGTCCTAACTTTAGGTCTACCATGGAGGTACGCTACAATTTCTCCAAGGGTTTGACTCGGCCAGAGATAATTATATGGTGACGAGAACCAACTTCGCGAGTCCTTCGAGTGAAAAAATAAAGGCTTCGGTATAAATAGGCCTGACTTAGTTATTTACCAATAAGCCGCACCACCTTTACCATGAGCTCCACGGCCATAATGTCATGTCCTTCATGGATTATACGCTTACTTCTACCAAGCATGCAACACACACAATATGGTACGAACAAAACCAATTGAATCGCCGTCACATCAGACGGGAGGCAGCCATGTCACCAGATGCGATGGCCCGCCCCTCTCCCCCTTTTAAAATAAACTCTAAGAAAAAAGTTTGGGCTATCATAAAATCTCTGCGATCTGAGTAAAGAACAAACATTGTTTGAGAATGAACATTTTAAAAATTAGCTTTATTAGCTGGTGACACTGAGGCCTTGAATACTGTTCTTGTAATTTACGAGGGCTGCTCCAAAAGTTTCTGGCCTGAAAACAAACCAAAAAAATTAACATTTTCACAAATTCTCCAGATATTTATCACGAAACCAAAGCACCACACCAATCAGATGGAGACAACTTTTTCAGGCCAGCTTTTCAAGTGCTGTAAGGTCCCCTTCGTCGCCTCCTCACTTTCGGGGACGGACAAAAGCCACACGGAACCAGATCTGCGGAACCAGGTCGACCAACTGCACACCTTTTTCCGGTAAAGAAGAAAAAAAAAAAAAAAAAAAACCGAGGCCACCGCACTTCGCAGTCACCAATCAGTATTCATCGCTGCGCACTCCTTTCACCAAGTCATTGCTTGTGAAGTACCAAAACCGAGGATTATTGTTTTTTTTTTCTGGATCATGGTATTCAGGTATTTTCACTGTCACGATTTCGGAAACAGTTTTTGACGGTCCCGATTTGTTCTTTTGAAGCGCGAAACGACACCAACCAAACTTGGCCGCTTTCTCTGCCATTTCTCTGCCAACGGGAGCAGAGGTCCCACGACCCCGGGTGATCACGGATGATGACATTAAGAGTTTTGGTTACCCGTTCTTGAGAGGACGGCAAGGGATGTAGGACGGCTGACGTCAATGGTGCCGTCACCAGCAGTATTAAAACGCGTGAGGAAGACGTCTAAGACGTGGAGGGACTCTTTCAGCCGCTCTCACAGAAACATGATCGCGACGCAAGATCCACCAATCAGGAACGTGAACGCGTCGCAAGATCCACCAATCAGGAACATGATCGCGACGCAAGATCCACCAATCAGGAACGTGAACGCGACGCAAGATCCACCAATCAGGAACGACTTGATAGGAGCATGAGCTTCGGTACAACGCGTGATTCGTTCAAGTCAGTCATCCAGGAAGGAAACCTACGAGGGGCGTACCGAAAGTATCGAGACTCTGGCTATAATTTCCTTAATGTGTTTGCCACGAAAATCGAATCCATTTTCCTTCAATGTGTAACAAATACGCAATGCACACTCAGAAGTACAAGTTGTTCTCTCTTATGATTAACAAAATGCAGGCAGTGAAAGGAACACAAGCACCAGAAATTCTAGACGCGACAACACATTCGGTCATCTCGTGGATCGTCATGAACCTTCTCCACGTTGTTCCCTTTGAGGTGGACGCATTTCTGTGAAAGTGTGAATCGCGGTGAGAAGAAAGGCGTCCACCTCAAAGGGATCATCAAGGGATCATCAAGGGATCAAAGGATCATGACGAGATGGCCGAATGTGTTGTCGTGTCTGGAATTTCTGGTGCATGTGTTCCTTTCACTGCCTGCATTTTGTTAGTGTACTTCTGAGTGTGCATTGCGCATTTGTTACACATTGAAGGAAAATGGATTAGATTTTCGTGGCAAACACATTAAGAAAATTACAGCCAGAGTCTCGATACTATTGTTACGCCCGACGTAATATCGATGGCGAAGCAGCTGAAATTCAAGGCACAGTATGCCCAGGTTGGCTTTACAGACAATCGTATCGCGTCTGCAGCAAGGGTTTCCCGACTGAGAAAAAGGTCCGTTTTGCTCGAGACGGCTTCCTTGACAATTGTCTCGCATTTTAGCCAAATATCCCCCAGGACAGCAACTGACATGTCCTCTTCCCCCATCAGAGAAGTAGGATGCAACCCAGACACGAACTTCGGTTACTTGGCCGTGCGAGACGGACAGAAAGGAGGCATATTATTGGGGATGGCGAACGATGGGAAAATAAGACTCTGGTTGCAATGGGGGTTGCAATGGGGGTTGCAATGGGGGTTGCAGTGGGGGTTGCAATGGGGGTTGCAATGGGGTTGCAATGGGTTGCAATGGGTTGCAATGTCTACATGCGACTATGATGAACAGACGAAGGAATCAAGAAAATTAGTCCAGAAGGCAAACTGAGGCATTCATTCCTAAAGTGAAAACCCTTCTCAAGAAAAGAAATTTTAATTGCAGTAGATCATAACAAGAGGGAAATGCATAACATTTGGATATCTGGGGATTAGTGAGTTCGCCAGGTTGTCACCTTATCACTGTGTCGACCTTAAGTTAAGTGTCGTTTGCAAACCATCTGCGGTGAGATCCGTTCCAGATCTGGAACGCGTAGCCAAACTGGAAAACCTCGAACTCGAACGCCTAGTTATACGTTCCGAGAGCCAAAAGAGAGCCAAAGCTCTCTTTTTCGCTGCGGCCGATCCGATTCGATCCGAGTGTCTGGACCCTTTGCGAGGACTGGCCATCACTTTTTTTTTTTTTCTGCGCGGTCAGGATTCGCTGGGGGTCAGAGTTTCTCCAGTTTGTCATAAAAAACTGAAGCTCCTCCCGACGAGATTCTCGAAAACCGAATTCGACGGGGCAATGTCATGCAATTGATTCCCCAAAGAGCACCGCAACCCGGGGACTGCTCCCAGAGGAACAAATTTAAATAAAATATAATAGATAATGGTACGAAAATGCTCTCTTGTCAGTTCCATTTCCATTTATAGTAAATCCTAACTCCAAAAGTTTCCACTGTTTACTTTCAAGCAATGAACAAAATTACTTTTAAATTGACCTACGAAGAGAAAATTAATTTAACACACACTGGTGTGTGTTAATTAAATTTTCTATCTAACTAATTTAATTTTCTAACTATCACATAAAAAATACGTAACCAGGTGAGGCCAAAAAATTTCAGAGCAGCCCTTGTACTTTCAGGATACAGGTTTTCAGAAGTTACTTCTTCATATTGTAGAGCATTTATTGATGTTTCCCTTTATATTTTTTATTTACTTATTTTTTTTTTTAAGACAGGACCTGCTGCGGACGTACAACAGGCGCATTGAGATACGCCGAGAGAAAGAGATCATCAAGATCACAGGCACTGGCTTTTAACCACCTTATGTATATTAGGTTGAGGCATAAGTTCGGACCCTCTTAGGCAAAGCAACCTTTTTATTCATTTTCAACAAATAACAATCTCAATCAATGAAATATTGACCATTGCGTTGAACGACCTTCGCCCAGCGCTCGGTCGATGCCTCGCTCGTAGAACTCGGCTGGCTTAGACTCGAAGAACGCGGCCAGGGTCTTGACGAAGGTTGTCGTCGTTTTAGTGGCAGCTGTCGGCGAGGTGGTGTTGCAGAGACCGGAACAGGTGGTGTTGCAGAAATCGAAACAGGTGGTAATCCGATGGCGCTATGTCCGGTGGATGATGCAACGTTTCCCATCCGAGCTCATTCATCTTTTCCTTGGTCGCCTTCGCGACATGTGGTCGAGCGTTGTCGTGCTGGAGGAGGACGCCCTTTCGGTTGATCGGCGTTGGAAGTTTTCTGCGCAATTCTTCGCAAAGGCGTTGAAGCTGTTTGGAGTGGAGGTCCGCCGCGATTGTCTGGTTCTTTTGGAGCAGCTCAAAATGGATCACACCGTGCCGGTCCCACCAAATGCACACGAGGTGGCGCTTCGGGTGCAGCTCAGCTCTCGGCGTCAAAGTGACTGCCTGGTCCGCGTCCAACCACTGCCATTTGCGAGTGACGTTGTCGTAGCCGACCCACTTCTCATCCCCCGTAATGATCCGGCCCAAAATCGACTCGCTTTTGGCGTGACAGGAGTGAAGCACAAATCGTCAGCCTTTGAGCCTTGTTTTCTTCGCCGAGTTCGTGGGGTACCCAAATGCTTTGTTTGCGCACCTTGCCGAAGTCGTGATGTCTCATGACGGTTTTTTGGTCGCATCCGAGATGCTGTCCAAGTTGACGTGAAGATTGTCCCGGGTCTTCATCGAGCAGCTGCTGCAAATCTTTATTCTTCAGCTCGGCGGGTCGTCCAGAGCGGGGTTTGAAATCTTGTAAAACTTGACTACCCATTCCACAGGCCAAAACGAAAATTAATTTATACGTGTTTTAAATAAAATAATAATGCAAATAGAAGGCGAACCTGGCTTTAGAGGGAAGGGGGACCACCCTGGATTGTTGTTCCCGTGTCTAAGGAATTCAGTAGGAGTAACAGTTCAAGTTTACCCAAATATGCAAATGAGTTTCATTGGTACTGTAATTCCAAATTACAAGAATATCACAACATTAAAAGAAATGGGAGTTGATACCATCGGCAGCATATCTATATCAGCAGCCACTAGTGCCACCCCTGCTATTTTTGGGATGAACTATACAGGGAGAACATGATATATTCAAAGACTTTGGTTCGCAAAAGACGCTTTTGAGACACAAAGGCGTCAGGTTTGGAAAATATAAATTATGACTACATAAACATCACAAAAATTTACGTTCAATGCCTTCGCACAGGCTGACGCCAGTCATGGACGCACGCATCACTCAAGGCTTTCACGAGGAAGCGATTTGGAGACTCCACATTTGGATGATTCCTATTGCAGACCATCTGCTTCGACTCGGACAATCGAAAAGGAGCAATTCCCAGGAGACAACACAGGAAAATTTAACAGTAAATCTTTCATTTCTGGCACGGTTGAGCTCCGTCACATTTCATATCACTAATGATATGAAAGGGTGTGCAGAAGTAGTGGACATTTTGCTCTACGGCGGTGCACACTTGTATTACAGCACTGAGACATGTACAGACATTTCTGACAGACATTTCTGACAGACATTTCTGACAGACATTTCTGACAGACATTTCTGACAGACATTTCTGACAGACATTTCTGACAGACATTTCTGCTATCGCTCATGCGATAACAGAAATGATTTTAAGATTACGTCGGCCCCCCGAAAAGTTTCTGGGGTCTGTGACTTGGAATAACTGCTTTCCTTATGCCATTTGGTTCTTTATAGTTCCAGGGTATTGCATGCCAAATTTTGAGATTTTGTGAAAATGTCTAGTCGTGAGCTAAGACAAGAGAGACCTAACTCCTTGATGCAACCTGGACTGAGCCATGAAGATTTTCACTCCATGATTTTATACGATTGGAAGTGTGGTCTCGCAGCTAAGGAATGCCATGACCACCTTATTTCTTAATGATGCCCCATGTCAGAAGACTAAGTACCTGGTTTCGAAATTTTATGACAGGTCATTTTGAGCTGAAGGACACCAATTGGGCATTCTGCAGCTGCCACTGATGAAACAATTGTTGCTGCCATCAAAGAGATGTTGAAGGACAATCCACAAATCACTTAGTAAAAAATGCACATGGCCCTAGGGATTGGAAACTCAGCGATACAAACCATCTTGCATGAAAAACTTCTGAAGGAGCATGAAAAAGAGACCCGCATGGAGTTCTGCCAGTTCATGCTTCAAAGATTCGACACGGGGCGCTCTCCTGATGTACATAGGATCATCACATGTGACGAGACTTGGGTCAAGGCGAAG